GTAGCTTTGCGCCTTTCCTGGAACTCACTTGGTAGCCCAGGCTGGCCTCGAACTCACAGAGATCCGCCTGCCTCTGCCTCCCGAGTGCTGAGATTAAAGGCGTGCGCCACCACCGCCCGGCCCTAGTTTCAATTTTTTAAAGTTACTTTTGTTGTTGTTTTTTGAGACAGGGTTTCTCTGTAGCTTTGGAGTCTGTCCTGGAACTCAGTCTGTAGACCAGGCTGGCCTTGAACTCACAGAGATCCGCCCGGCTGTGCCTCCCCAGTGCTGGGATCAAAGGCGTGTGCACCACCGCCCTGCTGCCTTAGCCTCTTGAATGAATGTTGCCATGTCGGCTATCTTTTAATTTTGACACCAGCTCTCACTGAGTTGCTCAGTGTGTCCTTGAGCTCTGCCTTGAATTTGATCCCACTGCCTCAGCCTCCTAAATAGTTGAGATTGTAGACCTGGGACACCAGGCCTGGAAAGTCTAGGGATATTTTAAATAAATCCTGCCCATCAATCATACTTATTTTAAATTAGTACGTGGTAATTCTTCAATGGGTACATTAAAATTCATTTAATACTTTTTGGTTGATGTATTCATCTCTCTTTAAAGTGATACGTTATGCTTTCTTTAAAGTGATACTATTTGTTCGTTCGTTCATTCATTCATTCATTCCATATAGGGTGTCATGTATCCCAGGCTGGTCTCAAATTTAAGTGTGTAGCAGAGGATGACTTTGAGTTCTGATCTTCAGGTCTCTACCTCCCTATGGAGTTCTGAGATTACAGGCATACACCACCATGCCTGGTTTGTGCAGCACGGGATATGCGTGCTAGGCAAAGACCGTACTACTGAGCTGTATCCCTGCGCTTTGTGGACTTACTTTGTTTGCTTTTTTAGGCGGAGGCTGATAAATTTCTCTGTGGCTGCTTGGATCAGCTCAGGTTCTTGGTGTAAAGATAAGGCATTGTAAAAAGTCCTACATGCCAAGTTCTGAGGATAGCGTTTAAAACACCCTAGTACTTGTGGCTTTGCTAGTTTGACTGTCTTCTGTACCTCTCCCTTAAGTCAGCACAGAGATCCCAGTGTTCCAGTACTGTAGCCTCTTGTAGCTTTCACAGTTTCTCCCTGAATTCTAAGATAGTATAAGAGTGTCTGTTTCAGATTGGTTGGGAAAGAGAAACACATTTGACAAACTTGGCTGTTTATATTACTCCAGAGATTGTGATTAGGAGTCCCCAGTCCTTTGCTAAATTAAAGGAAAGAAACTTGACTAGAAAGCTAGAAATTCAAGATAGGTTTTTTTTCCCCCTTCTTGTTGTCTTTAGTGTCTATTAGGTGATTAGTATAAAAATACCATTTGTAGTCCAGCAGTGGTGGTGCGCGCCTTTAGTCCCAGAGGCAGGAGTATCTCTGAGTTCAAAGCCAGCCTGGTCTACAGAGGGAACAGCCAGGGCTACACAGAGAAACCCTGTGTTGAATGCCCCCCCCCAAAAAAAAAACCCAAACAAACCCCAAATAAACAAAAAACAAGAACCATTTCTGGAGGCAGGGAGGGAGTAGCCAACATGACATTTTAAAACAGTTTTTTAGAGAAAAGTAAATCTAGGGTTATGGCCTGGTAAACAAACAAGTAAGTGACAGACTATGGAACTTGCAAAGTTATTTAGAAACAAAGAAAGAGAATGTTGTGTTGTCCTTGTAAATAATTGTAAATACTTGCACTTTCCTTCTCTTGCAGTTCCCGGAATGGACGGAGGTGCTTTAACTGACACAAGTCTCACAGATTCCTATTTCAGCACCAGCTTTATTGGAGTCAATGGATTTGGAAGCCCTGTAGAAACAAAGTATCCCTTGATGCAGGTACTGTTCCATGGATTGAGACTTCTTCAAGAGGCGAGAGATGGATAATGGGGGAAGTTGTCTGTGGGTGGAGTCAGGGAGAGCTTCCAAGGTGGGGTGTGGGCAGAGATGGCGGTGGAGGGTGCAGAGGGTAGGTAGAGACTGCTCCACACGGATTGCATGTATTAACTTGATCGTGCTGGTAGTCAGATTTAAAAACATTTCAGTAGATGAATACATGTATGTGCTATCAGTTTTGGAAAAAACCTCTTATCCCCACTCACCAGACGTCTTGTTAACCTTCTCAGACAGCTAGCAGCACTGGTAACAGGGTCCTGAGCTTGCTTTCTGTCAGGAAGAGTCTACTGCACATTTCTGCATTTACATTTCAGCTCTTCTGTGTGAAGCCAATGGTACCTGAGTGATTCATGTTAACATTGCCTTTTTCATTTTTAAACACATTCTGCTCTCTGTAGCTGACTTTTCTGTTTGTCATATGCAATGCTGAAGACATTTTGTAGATAGAGAAGAATTTTGTAGAATTAGAAGGAGCTTGGAAAATGTTTCTAATGTTCTTTGGAGAGCTGCCACAGTAGTGAAAGCAGTGCTGTGCTGCTGTCCCTGCTTCTCCCGCTGATCCCCGAGATTGTAACAGGATGCTGGACACTGGTGGTTTGGTTGCCTGCCATTCGGTGCTGGGCTGACTTAAGAAGTCAGTCCTTTCTGAATGAGTTTTCACTTAATTACTAAAAGCTAATGTTTCATTGTTGCTAATGATCCTTATAGGTTAGTAAGCATTTAAGTAAGCATGCACAGTCATGAACATGAGTCTCGTGTGTGTGTGTGTGTGTGTGTGTGTGTGTGTGTGTGTGTGTGTGTGTGTTTAGTGTATGTGTGCGGCACAGGTGTGTGTACCCATGCATGATCATGTGGCCGCCACGGCTGGTTGTCAGTTGTTTGCTTCTGTTGCTCTTTGCCTTACTGCATTGAGACAAAGCTGGTTGTTTTGGTTAGGCTGGCCAGCCAGAGCATCCACGAGCAACTGTCTCCGTCCCACAATGCTGGGGCCACAGTGAGCTTTTTACATGGTGGGGAGACCATGGACCTTTTTACATGGTGGGGAGACCTCTGGACCCACCCCTGAGTTCCTTATTATTAATGTATAGTTATTTTGAGACAAGGGCTCACGTGTCTCTGGCTGGTCAGAATTTCCTGTGTAGACCTTGAACTTCTGATCCTCACAACTGCCCAAAGGTTCTGTGACAGGCATTTAATACCATGTGTATTACCATGTGTATTTCATGCCTGTCATATATATAATTTTATATTAAAGTTGTCTTAAGAACTTGCCTTCCAGCTTCCCTTTTTAATAATTCAGAGACTGAGTAAGAAGCTGAGTGACTTATGTAAGTTTGGGATTACAGGGGTTTAGGCTAGAGCCGAGAAAGTCTAATTTAGATTACCTTTTCAGAGACTGAGTTAGCTTTATATATAGGACTTGCTGGTTTCAAAGTCCTTCTAGGATAGACATAGAGGCAGTGGGTTAGATAAGAAAAGCAGAGGATATGTTTGGCAAACAGAAAGTAGTTTAATTGTACTAGCTTTTGATGGTATATGAAGGATAATACAAATCAAGAGATGTTAGACCATGTACTGACTTCATATAGTTACTTTCCACCTTCTTGGATGAGTATTGTAATTTATATCTTATGGGTGAGGAAGTTGTCTTGCCCTTGCTAGTCATTTACAGAATTGCAGTTCAGATAGGCCTGTCTTTAAAAGACGTGGCTATGAAAGCATTTGATGTGCTTCCTGGGGGGTCTGTATGCAGGGAGTTGTAATCTAAGCAGTAATAGTAGCGTGTGTAGGAGGGAAATTGAGCTTGTTGGTGGTGGGAAAGATCATTTGGCTTCTTGCACAGTTTCTGCATCATTAAAAAGGAAGGGGAAGGTACAGGCTGGACCAGTCACTCTTACTGTTGGATGCTTTTAATTCTGTATTTTTCAATGGCCACATGTGCATGTTTTATTTTTCAGAGAATGACTAGTAGTAGCAGCTCCCCAAGTCTTCTAAATGACAGTGCCAAGCCATATGCAGGCCATGGTAAGATCTGATCGTGTGTGTGTGTATGCCTATGTGTGTAATTCTAAAAGCAATATGATCATAGTAGAAATTTTAGAAATTAAGAACATGTACTAATTAGAAACTAAAATTTATCAAGAACAAGATTTTGAGTCACCCATTTTTCTTTTTATATTAATAAATAGAATAATTACGATTACATTAAACATTCTAATCATGCCACTTCTTGATTAATATGAATTAATGCTTGTTTTTATAGTTTGTTCTTGCCTCTTTCATAAGAAGTGACACTTCAGTGGACTGTATGTGTGAATAGTTTAAAAAAGTTTTTTTTGTCTTATATTTCTGTCAGTACTTCTAATCATTTGTTTTGGATAAATCTTAGCAATGGAATTATTTTAAAAATTATGAGCATTTAAATAAATTGTATTTAATAGTTCTAGATTTTTCCTATATTTTACTTTAAGAAGTGTTTCATGGTAAATTGTGTGTGTGTGTGCACGCACCCGAATAACCAAGATACAATATAAAATGTTAAAAACTACTAATGATGAGGAAAATTTGCAATTTGATTATTTTCTGTGCTATTTTCTGTATATAAAGTTTCCATTACTATTTAGGAATTTCAGTCTTGTGCTGTAGAAAAAAGTAACATTTTAACATTAGACTTAATGTTCAAAACTACTGTGTAACATATTTTTTGGTATTCCCATATTGTTTCAATGTTATACAAGGTGATAAATGATACATAATAAATTATACCCTTTTGAATGCCTTAAATTTATTACATAAAAATATCTTGTCTTGCTACTTATTAGCATTTTTCTTTATACATTATAACTTATTTCATATTAAATCATTTTAAGACCAGTGAACTTCCACTACAAAGCACCAACTAGAAGAAGGCAGAGAAATTAAGCAAAAATCTCTGTGTACTATGCTTTAAGGAATTTTAGAGCTCCTTTTAAGAGAGGGCATTTACTACAGGTGAAGTACTAAAGTTCCATGTGTTGTCTGTCTCCTGAAAAGTTTTGATGTGTAAAGTGGGAAACAATTCAAGAGTTGTAATGTTTGAAGAGTAATGACACTTTGAGCCTGTAAAACCTTCGGATTCTGTTTGTGTTTTGAAACATTTAGTATTTTCATCAAGAAAGTCAGAAGTCTCTCGATAATGTAGAACTATGAATTAGTCTGTAGAGTAGGTTTGAAGGCCTCAGTGTTTAATCTAATCTGAGCCTGGATCTCTCTGGCCCTGACTCCTTTTAACCCCAAGACTTAGTCTTAGCACAAGTGTTTACTATAACTAGACTTCCTTCCCAACTTACCTCTTTTCCATTTTCCTTTTGTTTTAAAAGCAGGTGCATTTTTACATGAAGATACATACTTGACTTTGGTAGACAGCACTATGGGTTGAATGAAGTAGTTATCAGTTTGTGTCTCGTGCATTGCACGTGCAGGTGCGTGAGCTCTGAGCTTGCTGCTGTCGTGGTACTGCCAGGTTGACAAGGATCAGCCTTGCTTGGTACCTGAGCTGTTGGAAACCTGTGTGACTTGCCTTCCAGATCCTCTGACTTCACCTGCTTCATCCTTGTTTAATGACTTCGGTGCCCTCAGCATCTCCCAGAGAAGGAAGGTAGGTGAACATTGAAATTCCAGCACAACTAATGCAATTTAAGTGGGAATGAGACCTTGTATGGGCTGAGTGCTCTTCTTGTGTTTACTTAAGTGTTTCCTTATCTCCTTGCTTTCTCTCATTGCTTTTGGGTTTTTGAGTTGGGATCTTCAATAGCCCAGGCTGGCCTGTATTTGTGATGGTTCTCCTGCCTCAGCCCCCCAGTGCTGGGATGGTAGGCATGCAATACCATGTCTGACATCTTATCTCTCATATGTGGAATTGTATTTGATCTGCATGCATGGGATGAAAACATTTATGCAAAGGGATGAAATCCTTCTGTTTGCTTTTTGTTCTTTTTCTAATTAAATTCTGTTGCTGTTAATATAACCCAGTGTAGGCATTTTACCCATATTTTAGCTTTATTTTTTGACTCACTACATTTTAAAAGGTTTCCCACATTTTGTACTCATTACAAAACAAACTTAAGATTTACAACTTTTCATAGTTGACCCAACTATTTAAAACTAAATGTTAATTTAAACTCTGTGGGTTTGTTGTTGGTTTTTTTCTGGGGGTAGTGACAACACAGTTTTACTAAGGAGCTCAGGCTGGCCTTGAATTCATAACACTCTTGTCTTAATTTTCCAAGTGCTAGAATTACAAGTATGTGCCACCATGCTTAGCCCTTAACATCTGTTTATGTTATAAAATTGATTTAATTTGATATAATTTAGAATTGAGGTTTATATAACGTAGAATTTTATACAGATTTTGTGACAAGTTGAAATGAATGGTTTGGTGCCTTTGGGTCTTAGTGAGAGCCAGCTGATGTGAGTAGTTCCTTAGAGAAGCTGGCCATTTGGTTAGGACAAATAGTAGCTAAAGATACAGGAACTTGCTGGGTGGTGGTGGCATAGGCCTTTAATCCCAGCACTTGGGAAGCTGAGGCCGGTGGATCTCTGTGAGTTCGAGGACAGCCTGGTCTGCAGGATCCAGGACAGGCTCCAAAGCTACACAGAAAAACTCTGTCTCAGAAAACCAAAACAACAAACAAAAAGATAGAGGAACCTGTGCATCTTGATGGATGTTACTGTGAAGGTTAAAGCACTCTTGTTTTCTAAGTAATGGGAGAAAGGTCCCAAGTTAAATACTGACTTTAGAAAAAATGAACTGAAGAGTTTGAACATTGGTGTCTGAACAGAGGGGAGTATGGCATGAAGTTCGCAATGACTCTGGTGGTGATGGCTTCATGACTAAGCTTAATGAAACATCTGTGTGAAATATGTGTAACACTGCCATTCAGTCATACCTCAATAAGTTACTTACAACATTTGACAAGACTGGGCGTTTTCAAAGCAGAACAAACATTTTCAGGACTCGGCATGTAATCACACGAGCACTTTGTGCATGTGATGTTGTTTCCTTCTTAAGAATTGGATTAGAGCAAGAAGGTGATTGGAAATGCTTTTAACAGCTATGCCTGGTAGATACAATGTTTGGGCTTGGTTTATAGCTCTCTTAATGGTTTTCGTCAAGAATAAGGTTAGTTTTACTTCACACACTTTTCGTGGGTTGGTGAGAAGTGGTAGAGGTGGACACCAGCAGACCTGTCGCAGTAGGGAGAGACAGCACTGAGCCTCCGATGGCACACGTTATCTAGAGCTCTTGAGAGACAAAGAAACTTCCCCTCGGCTTACTGGTCCTTCTGATGGCTTTCTCCTAGTTCAGAAGAATTAGCTAGAGTAAGTGCTGTTTCTGATCCCTGATAGAGAGTACAAGTAGAATGGTAATTGAGCATTTAAAAGCATTCCTGTGAAAATTAACTGGCTGCGTTTAAACAAAGAGTTGTATACCATTTAGAGCTATTTTTGAAAAGTAGTAAAAATCAATGGGGATTTTAAGAGAAAAATACAGCACGTGTTCTTTTTTCATAGAAGAAAACAATAAAAGGAAATATTAGTGTGTGATTGCCGTGCTTTGTAGCCCAGGCTGGCCTCAGACTTGAAGTGACCCTCCTTATGCCTCCTGAGACCTAGAATCACAGATTTGAGCTGCCCTGCCTGGCCTTCAGTATTAGAATATAGTTTAATAGAAAGAGAATAATAATATAATTTCCTGTGACTCTGGAGGTCCCTGGATTTCTGACCCTGTGACCTTGTGCCTTCATTCTAGATTATAATCTTCCATTCATGAAAAGATAGACACATCCTAAACAGGTGTTGTGTTGTCCTTTATTTCTGAAAAACTGCCCGGTCTATAATTGAAAGCCTTAGTATCTAACTGCCAAGACCCCATTGCTGCTGTTGACAGTAACAGAATGTGTGGTGGAGGGACACGTGGGCTTCATCCAGTAGATCGCGCTAGTACGTGCTATTTCTGTGGGTATGTGTTGTGTTTTTAAATGCTAATGGTTGCTCAGAAAGTTGAAAAAATCCTTGTTTTAGGAATTTTTTGACAGTGGGAGTAATGCATGGTGTGCTGGCGGTCATAGGGGCTACCCCCCCCTTTGTTGTAATTTATGTTTGTTTCTTGATGTAATTCTGCGGAAATAAAAATTATATTTAGTTATTTAATTAAATTCAATGCCTATTTAATCAGGGTAGTATGATTACTTTTTGATGCTTCAAAATAATGCCAGAGATTAGGTAGTAGGTCGTTCACTACCATATCATAGCCTGTAAGGTAAGTAACTTCCCAAAAATCCCAGGTGGGTCGAACCCAACAGTCATGTGTTTTTGCTATATGTGAACATATTAATGAGTGCCAGCTTAAATATTTGTTGATTGCAAAGTAGCAGTGAATTTTCTAGATCCACGAGAACACATGAGGAAAAATGTTTGATAGCGAAGACTGTAGAGAAGCTAGACCGTCTAGGCAGGCGCTACCCCACTTAGGAAGGAGTCTTAGTCAATTCCTCCTGTCCTTCACAGAGGAACTAAGAGACTGGACCTGAGCGTCTTAGCATTTATGGGCTTACTGAAGAAAAATGTGGTGTGGAAAATAGTATGAAAAGGTTCCTAGCTGTCATCCAGTTGTCATCAGATATGTGAGAAGATTCCTGAACAATTCCATAGCTGAACATAGCTATCTATGCCTTTGGTCGTTACAGTAGAACCACAGGGACCAGAGCCAGCTTCGCAGAGTCTAGAAACACCTGTAGAGCTGATAAGGCTGGGGCATCAAATGTACAGTTATTCTTCTTGTAATTCGGTTTTGGTTTTTTTTGTTTTTGTTTTTTTTTTTT